AACTCACACGATGCCAAGATTCATAGAAAGTCGTTCATGGTCAATTCGTAGACTTCGTTCAAATATGAATTAGATAAAGGATTAGCGACAGGATGTTAAGGTTGGAGTGATGCCAGGGCGAGAGAAGAGTGTTTTTGAGGTTGTCTTACTACTGTACGATATTTCAGATCTCTACAAACTTTATGGAATTGACTCGCATGTGTGAGATATACTTTATATAATACAATCACTGATACAGAATGATTGCATCGTTATAGAATCTGTTAAACGGAATTTCCTGATCAATGCTGATCCACATCTTCTTTTCAACTAACTCACATAACTGTAATGAAAAGAATGAAAATGAATGGAAATGACTAGCTTGTTGAATGACATTCGAAAGTTGAGCTAAGTTACTTAAGTAATGATAGAGGCGAATACCCATGAGAATGAATCATGAAACATTCTCGGTAGAGAAGTATGTGAAAAGTATGCAGCATGTTCAGGGAGTCTACAAAAGCAGTTCCATTTAGTATTGCCTAGAGTAGTTGGTTAGAGAATCACGACTAAGACCTTAGATGCCCTGAGCTGCTCAGAGGTGACCCTTCAAGAAGCAGCAAATATCCGCAATGATGTCGTTCTTTACCGAACTATTTGGAAAACTGCATACGCCATGACATGCTGTTTTGTAATGCTTCCATTCGCAGGGAACTTTCTCCTTTTGCAATTTCTTCGCGTACTGTATCGCTTCGTCCCTGAAGGAATTTCATTTTATGACACCCTGACAATGAAAGCTTTGAAGTTTCACAAAAATTCCTGGACTTTCTACTCTTGACTTAATCACTCCTGTTGGGGTACACGTGACTTTATATTAAATCTTTTACGTTTTTCTCTTATCTCCTTTTCGCTTTGCAAACGACATCGTGCTTATAACACCGAAAATCATGCAGGGACAACAATGTGGCGGTTGAGCAGAGGAAACGTGCTGCGTGGCAAGCATTTGAGAATATTGAGGTAGACCTTGAAGAATGCAAGAAGCATCCATCTCCGCGTCATCTTTTCGAAATTGTGATCCTCCCTTCTATAACATGCAAGGAGCAAGTGCGAAGGGGAGTCCGGAGTTCGGAGCCCCCGAGCAAACGAAGTCTCTGTTTCGTGTCCTCGATTTTTGGTCCATCAGAAAATCAAGGACGCCGCTGCTCAACATAGGGAATAGAAGTTTAGATGGGCCAGATATGTGGCTTTCGTGGTGACCGCTGGACTGCGGAGACGTCAAGTAAACACCAGAAAGCCGCGAGCGATAGACAGACATCTTGAAGAGAACTGTGAAGGAAAGGGATGCTACCAGCCTTTCAGTTTTAGTTGGGCTGGGCTGCCACGCACGTTTTAGTGTTCCCATCCCACCCCCTGCGTTCCTATCAAAGTTGAACTCTACTCTCTGGATCTACGGGAACACGAGTAAGAAATTCCCGGTCAAACACACACAGAAACACACACATACACATACAGACACAGACAAAGTCACATACACACTCAGCGCGTTTATATCGTAGGATTAGGGGAGACATCTAAAATTTTTACTTCCTCCTGGCAGCTATTTATTTCGCGTGTGGCGACAGCGACTTTGTTCACTTTGTTCGTGGAATCTTGGGGAGTCTTTCATGAAGTGGGTTGATCGCCAGTGAAAAATTTGCTAGAGAGGATTAAACTGTGTTGGAAATGGCAAATCGTGCCGAGCTGCATTTTGGCTTCTGAAGACGACGATTACGTCGGATCATCAAGAAGCTGGTCAAACAAATAATTCTACATGAAAGCTGGAACGGTAAAACATTACTACCTCTGCACTACAAGTTAGTCATTTTTTTTAGACAGTCATTTTTCGGCCGCACCANCCACTTACCTTAAAATATCAAATTCGGCAGAGATAACCATCGCTGGAGGGAGGTCGTTGCGCACACCAAACAGTGGAGAAACATCCGGATCAGATCCTTTGTCAGCAAAAGCTTGCAATTGGATTTTCTCTTTCTGGAGTGGCTTTCGATATTATTCATGACATAGGCGATCACAAAAAAGTTGAATGAAGTAAGAAAGCTCCTTACTTCATCGGGTGTTGCTGCTTTCGCATGGAGCTGTTCTTGAAAAGTGAAGTTCAGGTTGGAATCACTAAACTCTTCTGAGATTTTGAGCTCTCTGAAATTTAGTATTTGAAGATTCGCAAAACTTTATTGGTTTATTAGAACAAGCTTCACACTGGGGAGCACAAAATGAAGACCCTTTATCAGTTTGCGTTCATTTAAGACATTACATTATGTATAGAAGAACGGGCCCGGTATCTTCTCTCCGAAAACGGCGCTGCGCACGCCGCACCTGCCGCGGAGGACGGAACTTACGTGCGTCCGGGGATGCGGGGGGACGGTACCAACGTGCGTCCGAGGACGCGCGTGGCAACGGGTATGTGTACGAACGTGCGTCCGAGGATGCGCGCGGCAAATTGAGCGGCGAAGTTCGTAAGGATTTGAACGAGTTTCGCGCCTATGATTGGGGC